TTATTCCTCGTATTAATCAAGTCAGTTAAGAAGTATGTAATATGCTGCAAGTATTTACTTTGTTCTATGTTTTGCTGTTTAATTGTTTGAATTCCCAGCCTTATAGATGTTATTACTGAAACAGAACTCGAAGCTAAAAACTGCGATAGTGTTCAGTGTGAGGAGTTTTATTTCACCATAGGAACATGAAGATTTTTCTTATTTTTACTAACGGATATACTCACTGATATATACAGATTTCCTATTAATTATTATCTAGTAAATGTTTACAGTGAATTAGTACAGAAAAAATGTCACATTAAATTAATACATAACCTTAGGGATAACTTAGTTATGACAATGAATTGCTTAAATAAGAAAAACCTTTCTGGAATCTGTGATCGAGATAAACGAAAATTTTTTATTGGAAGTTCTGTGTCTACTGGAAATAGAATTAGATGTCCAACTTTAATAAAATGTTAACGTGTTATGACCCTCGATCTTTTATATATCTACTTGATCGGATCACTAGATGATAGATTCTATTAATGAGAAGTTTGCTTTACGCATATCAAACCAAAAACCTCTTTAACCATGAACATGACTGACTGTGACAACGATAGTGGGGTGGTAAATTCCAGTAGTCCTCCATCTATCCTCAGTGTGCAATCAGAATACAAAAACAGCAAAGAAATTTGCCTTCCCTCATTCTGTTGTCATCCCGATTAAAAAGCTTACAGGATTATGTACATCATTTACATGAACGCTGTTATGTCTAGAGCTTAGATTCTTGCTATACCGTGTACCACTTGAGCACTCGAACGATATAACCTTTCAAGTCACAAGTTAGAAGACAGAAGACGAGTGAAAAGGAATGTTATTCCAAACAGTGTTAGATATAATACAAAACTCTCTGGTAATTTTTCGTAAAAACAAAATTATCATTACAGTCATCCAATCTGCATACAATGGTTTTTAGCATCTGTCAAATAGGGAAGTTATACGTCGAGATTCTGGGATGTTCTTCCAAAAGATGATTGGATGGAATATGTTCTGCTCCTTCTGGGTTTCTTTGAATTCATCCGTAGGCTGTCCTCACAACCACAACTTACTACGAATAAAAAATCACGATATGTATATAATCAAGTCATATATGCTACGAAATTCAGTAATAAATTCAAACGCCATCGCGTAATCCACTCAGCTAATGAGTCCTGATAACCACTTGCTTGCCAATAACAGACTGATCAATCACAGTCTTAAACCTCAATGGCAAGATACAAGCAAAACAATACCAAGTGAATGTACTAACTTTCGTTGTAACAAACAAAAATGGTAAGATGAAAACACCTACAACTGCACATTACGTTAAATGTGTAAATACAAATTATGGAGCTGAATGAGATTTACTTACAAGAATTAAATTTATAACTTAAATTTTCGGTTGAAATTGAATCAGTCTTAGTTGATGGAATACGATTGTGTGTTGTTCAATCAATTGATAAGTGTAGAATTAGTATATCAGTTTGTAGTGAATGTTGAATTCTTATGGTCTACGTTATGAACTGTACTTAGTTTGAGGTTGAAAGATGTGAATGGAATATTACGAATTGATTGAATTTAGAAATATAAACCATTGAACCCCATCCTAAGGATTAGAGTAGTTAAGGGTTCACTGCAAGCCCTTAAGAATCTGAGTTTAACCTATGGTGGGGTCTGAAATGGGTATATATGGAAGTTCTACGTTGAAACAGAAAGCGTACTCAGTGCTTGTTGATTCCTAGTAGTTGTTTAGCTAAAGTTGGTCCATGATTCAGACTATAAGTATGTTGAATGTATTACTTTGTTTTGCCGGATTTATCAATTTATTTCTAACTCTTTAGATATACGTTTTGTATGTCGCTAATTTTAGATGAGGGTATTTCAATTTAGTTATTTTTAGCTGTTTAGATAACGATGCATATTTGAATAAATAATTTGTCAACGCCATTCACGTAAATAATAACTTTATAATGAAAACCTAACATATACTAGTGAAGTCAATAAAGTCGGAATTAAGACATACTATTGGTAATAATGGAGAAATATGAGCAATAGGGAGCCCTGACTATTTCATATTGTGATCAGAGTCAAATGAAAATTCATTAATTTGACTGATCCATTTTCTAATAATCAGGTTTGTTGGATGAGTTAAGATGGTAGAAGACTCTTATATAAATTCTATATAGACTCTAATGATTTTACTAATGAACTCGTTTTTGTTTGAACTTTTGAAACAATCTATTTTCTGATTTGCGGAGACTCGAATAAAGTATCGTGGTTAGGAAATACTAGATAGTAGAATAACACAACAATGAGAATGAATAGCACTGGATCTGACATAATATCTGAACATTCTGTTTTCTGTTAGTATTTTTTGAAGTTATGGCCACAAATCGTTAAATGACCTCGAATGACAAAAATCGATATAGAGGAGGTCAATCAATCACATGTTCATTGGTTAACTGAAAAAATAGGTCGATAGGAATATAAGAAATCTTTGAAGAAAATCAGTTAGATACAAGGTTATTAGAGGAGATTGATTTAATGCTTATGAAATAATCAGAAAGTTCATGTTTACATGAAGTAAACACTGATAATACTGTGTAGAATGACAGACGAACCTTCACAATTAAACCATTTATCTGAGAGAACATAACATTACCAAAGACTATTTATTCAGTACTGTTCAGTTTTCTAAATATTCTTTAATTAATTTCAGTTCATGCTGTAAACTGTCATGTAACTCATAGATGTTATTCACAGTTTAGCACCACATCATGGACATGGTTATTACTTTAAAATTTTTTTCATCAGATGTAGATTTTTAAATTTTTCATACCGGACTAACTTTGGTTAAACAATTACTAAAAACTAGGAAGTTTTGGATAATTTTTTCTTCCCGATTCGGAACTCATCAACACTAGATATTAACGATCCCACCAAGGATCAGATCAAGGACCTTCGTTTCTTTCAGGGTATGCTTCACCTTCAAACTATTGAGTAAAATCCGTTGATTTCCTTTTCATAACATCAAACTAAGCAAGTAATTTAGTGTCTTGATCTTATTCTATCCTTAACTAAATATCAACCTACCCACACGCACAGACATCCAATTTTTTATCCCCTCACATACATAAACATCCATAGAACAAACAATTATGGCATTAGTATTAATATCACCATCATCATCAACAATAATACTCAACTGTACATTTTTCCTTTAAGGAAATTAAACAAAACAAGCCAAAAAAAAGAAAAATTAATTAGAAGAAACATTCTCTTTGAACTGTAGAAAAAAGGAAAGAGGAAGTAACAAAAAAAAAACAAAGGAGATCAATCTAAAAGTGAAAAATATAGAAAAAAAAGCAAACGAAACAAAACAAAAATCAATCATTAATTCATAACTCTTGATACTGTTAATTATTATTACAGTAATCTTTGTAAAATTATAATTATTATTAACATTAGTTTGCAGTAGAAGAATTACGATAATAATAATAATAATGTTGTATTCCTTTGAACGTCCATGTTTACCATTGAAATTATGATAAGTGATATTAATGTGAATAATTATACGATTTTGTTGTTGTTGTTGTTGTATTCACTTATATATGTTTAAAAGTATACACTTGTATGTAGTTATAATACAACAAAGAGTTTGTGTATAACTAGAATTTGTAGGGAAAGTAGAATAAGAAGACCAAGAAGAAGAAGAAGGGAAAGAATCAAAAGTTCAGGGAGTTTAAGATAAACTATTATTATTATTATTATTGAATGTTGAAGATGATAAGAAACTCAAAGAAATACAGATAAATTTAATTATTCTAACTAATTGAGCTAAATAGTATCCATTTAGAATTATATATATATATATATATATATATATATATATATATATATATATATATATATATATATATATATATATATATATATATATAATACATCCATGTACTCATAAGTATACAGTTTTATACTAAGATGTCTATATCTATATAGATTTGTATATTTGTATAAAAGATACTAATTAACTGAAAGACAATAAGTAATAATTCTATATAACATTGATTCGTTATAAATAAAAATAATCTATTTGTAATATCCCAATGAATAGAAAAATTAGATTTTCTGACGTTTCGTTACTTAGTGTAGGCCACTTCTTCAGAACATAAATAATCAAATTGAAATTAATTCAAGTTTAAATAGTACAACGAAACAATTTTAATTTGGTTATTTATTCTCTGAAGAAGTGACTTACACTAAGTTACGAAACATCAGAAAAACTAATTTTTCTACTCATTGGGATATGAAAAATATATTATTTATTTATTTATAACAATCTACCTAATGCTCAATTTATTCGAAATTATCAAATCAAATCTTGATAATTATTGATTAGTTAGTCTATTTAATGTTTAATAATAATTCACCATTTAAAAATTATTCATTTATCATTGATTATCATCTTCGTCATCATCGTCGACATCATCATCATCATCATCATCGTTGTCGTCGTCATCGTCACCATCATCGTCTTATTGTAATTAATGAAACTATTGAATATAAAAAGTTCTCTATTCTCATTTCCTCTATTTTTCTTCTTCTTTTCTCTTTAAAATTAATCTTTAGCTAATACTAAATAAAAAAACCAATAAATACATAAGAATAAAAAAAAGGATATTGGAAAAATTAATCGACTATATGCATCAATTTTTGATTCATATGGGATATTACTATTAGTAGTAGTAGTAGTAGTAGGATTTATAAATTTTATTGATTTACATTGATTTGATTTAGATGATCTTTTAAAGATTTCAATTAATGATTGATGTTGACTTAATTGATATTGTTCTTTATAATGATGATTATGATAGGTACATTTAAAACATGATAAACATTTATATAAAATATTTTTAAAATACCACAATTTTTTATTTGATTGATTAATTTGATGATGATAATACTGATTGTCATGGTGATTATAATGATCAAGATGAAGAGGATGAGAAGGAGAATGAGAAGGAGGAGGAGAAGAAGTGGGAGGATGATGAGAATAATCAGAACGATTATTATGATTAGAATATGTTAATGATTCATTTATTATATCTTTTTTTCCATTATCTAAAAATGTAGTCATTTTTAATTCTTTATTTGAATTTATTAAATTATTCTTATTATTTATATTGTATATTGTTGATTGTTTTACTTTTAATGCTGATTTTTTAGGTTGTTTATTTAATAATAATAATTCATTATATAATGGTTCAATAATTACATGACATGAATCAATTTTTATTGATTGTAATTGTTTTTCATTGATTAATTTAGTTTTTTTTATTGGTTTTATTATTTTAGGATAATCAATTAAATTGGATTTCATTTTATTGATTTTTCTTATTTCATTATGATTTATTGATTTTAATGTTGATTGTTTTGTTGATATTTTTACCTAAATTTAATTTTTTTAAAAAACAAAGAAATTATATATATACATATATGAACAATTAATAAATATGATTTCAAAAGGGATATTATTTAGGGGATATTATAGAAATATTTTTTAATAGTTGAGATTATGAGTTAATTTAAGGTAAAATACCATAGAAAACTTGGAAGCATTGGACAATCGTTTCGTTCTATTGTGAAACTTCTCAGCAGTTCTCATCCATGATACCACCTCACGAGATTCGAACACAGAATATATCGATCTTCTACTCAAACGCTTAACCATTATACCACTGAGCTGGTTAGCATCCAACGGTGTTAATGTCTAACTTCAACTAATTCACGAAATTGAGCGACACATCCACCATTATCTTCAGTGAGTTACTATATCACAACAGACCCAGTTGAACTCCACTGGTCACTGTTTCTCACTAGAACTGTAGGAAATACCTTTTGAAGACCGTCACTAGTGAGCATATGTTGATTAATATCAGAAGGGTTTTTTTGTGAATATTTTAGTAATTTTAATAGTTGATGCGCACTGCTAAGGAGTTTCAAAATGAGACGAAACGGCCGTTCAGTGCTTCCTGGTTTTCCATGGTAGTCTAGCTTCAATTGATTTATAAATTTAATTATTAAAAAACATGGCTTCGTTTGATTTATGTGGGCTTAAATTACTAATTAATAGTATGTTTAAAAGTGCGAAATAAATTAACTTAATATGTCGCCAGGAAGTAAACTGTGATTGGTCAATGAGTGAAGATAGACAAATCTAATTGAATTATATATAAGAAATAATATTGGATTGTTATTTGTCTCAATTTTGTTTCATTTTGATTTTACCTGTTGACTAATTTATGTCGTGTGTTTGGTAAACCCTCTAACTGGCTTATATCTGGTTCTTGATTGTTGGTTAAACAATGGAGTTGAGTGTGTTGCGTACATATACTGTGATTTATTAGTCCTACTGATATGACTGTTTAGTGATCTACTGTTGTGTTGGAAATGATAGATAATAATATATACTATTGAGTGTTATTACTAGTTTTGCAATTGAAGTGACATATGAATAGGTGTTAATTACAAGTAACATTTTTAATGAATGATATGAACTATTGACAAGTAGTATAAATATATAAGTAAAATATTTCGTGCCATTTTTTTCACTTGAATCTATAAATTTTCAAGGAACACTTCATTCTAACAAACAATATTTTATTCAATAACAATTACGTTTTTATCTTTCATTTTCGACATTTTTTCCAATTTTTCCGTGAAATTTTCAGGTGGTGTGAGTTTTGTTATTCTCGGCATAATGAATAAAACATTCGACCTCTATTTTAAACTGCTATTAGTCTATTATATCATTAGAATTGTTGATAAAAAATATAAGAAACCACTCAGTTAAAATTCATACCCATTGCCAAGTGGGTGGTTATCTGGACTTAGTAGCTTTGAAGCCTATTGTACTGGATTCCAGTTTGGCAGTGGAAACTATCTCCAGGATGTAACTACATCTGTCTGATGAGTTATAAATTGGATGAAACGTGCATCGTGGATTTCACTGCTAGTTACGTTCTATCTCTTCTAAACAATTAAGACTAGTACTTTAAATCTTATAACAACAAAGAATTGTAAATTAGGTTAAGAATTTACAGTGTGAACATTATAATTACAATTACGAGAGAATATATTAAGAGATTAATGTACAGTATAAAGTTCACGGTTGACTAAAATCTCTCTAGATTCAAGTCAATCAACAATTGCTAAAAAAATGCACTCTGATACTTAGAAGCATAGTGTTTTTATGTTAGTTACCCACCATACTATTAAATTATTTTAGTCAATACAATGAATAATTTATCTGAAATACTTTTCAAGATTGTTATGTAAAATTCATTGTATTCCCTTCTTTTTTTACCATAGTCGACAGTTTTAGGATTAATTCAATATGTATTGTATTCTAAAATGAGAGGTAGTCTTTGTAAAAGAATGTTTGTGAAACTGTTAAAATGATATAACTGATTAATTACCTGTTTAGTCCCATCACTAAATTCACTTTGTCTAATGCAACATCCAATCACTAATACTAAGGATCACATTTCAAATTAACTAATGAAGTTCGACCAATCGTAATGGTCACACAAATATGATACTACTCGATAATCAATTCGTGTACATATCTTAGTATTTTAGGAGGCTATTTGTAATCTAAAAAACTCAGTGGTAATGCATCAGACTATGAAATGGAATAATATATTTGAATCCCACAAGAAACATCGATTCCCTTAAAAGTTGGGTTACGCCTAGTTGATGAGTAGCAGCTAGCACGAAAATTAAATCTAATTTTCCTGCACCTAAAATCAAATCTCTAAACTACTCAACAAATTTTAATTATTCAAAACAATAATTTGATATCATTGGGGAGACCTAGAGTATTTTTCGAAAAAAGCCCAGAGGGGCCCTGAAAACACAGGGAAATATTTCATCCAATCAGCATTGAATAGATGTTTGTTAGAAACATCTAGGAAGCGGAAAGTTACGCGTCACATTTCTGACTGAGTGAGCACCTATCTTGCTACTACGTTTACTAGGGTTCCAGAACTTTCCGAAAACCCGGGGCCATCTGAAGTGTTATAATTACCCTAATCACTAATCTTGGAGCAAAGCATTCTTTCCATATTCTGTGCCATTTTGTCTCATGTTCAAGTTATCGTGTAGATCTAACCTCGGGGTTACTAGAAGAGCTTAGAATATTTATAATCATATCAAATGATTAAAATCTTCCAAGAAAAAAATATCAATCATATACAACTTACTTGTGTTGGTTTTTTTCTTGGTGCTTCAGGACATTTTAATCGAGCACAAGCTGGACAAGTACAACATACGGGTTGATAAGATTCACAAACTTTACAACGTAAATTTGTTGATTTGATATGCCTTGATCTACTTGTTCTACTTGATTTTTTTGTTGATTTCATTGTAAATTCAGGATCAGATTCAATATCTCTTGTGTGTGAATTCAATTTTTTATGTGTACTATCTATATAGGATCGTGGTTGATGTGACTGAGATCTTTGATTATTATTATTATTATCTTTGAAAATTGGTTTATGATGTCGATTTTTAGTGAAACAACAACAACATCGAATTTCACCAGTATAATTTACTAATAAAGTTTTAACTAAATCCCTTACTTCTGGTTCCCATTCAGGACTGTCACTTTTAGGTGTCATTAAATAAGCATAAGCGAATTCAGCTAATGCTGCGATGACAAATAATAAACAAACAGTTAACCAAACATCAATTGCTTTTAAATAAGTTACTTTAGGTAATTGTGAACTAACACTGCTACTCTGTTTATTATTTTTTGTTTTGGGTAAAACAAAAAGAATAGCGAAAAAGGGAGAGGGAAAAAAGAAAAACAATGGATTTTATCAATAGAATATCATTAAGATATTTTTTTTAAAAAATCAATAAAATAACAAACATGATCAAAATAAGAGTATTTCAGTCCAAACTTTCAAATAGCCTAATGTACTGATTTTATCTTCTTGCAACATTTAGGTAATATTGAATGAACTGAGCTCATTCTTGTTTGAAGTGAGTCATTTACTCAATGATAGTGGATAATGGTCCAATATCGCAAATTGATTAATGTTAGAAATGTAAATCAACAGATAACGATTTGGTGGTACAAAGGCTAGTTACTCTAAGAGAGATCTGAAGATCCTGGGTTTTATCCCTGGTTGAGTTTCGAACATGCAATTCTGGGGAGTTCAGTGCTAGAGTGAAACAATTTTTCAATGTTTTTTTGGTTTTAAATGGTTGTCTAACTAAGACTCAACAATCTGGACAAATCCCTTATACTTATATGAGTATATTTTATGAATAAAGTTAGATTATATGACATAAATCTAGCTAACAAATTTATATTTTCACACGTGTATATAGACAACTATTATAAACCTGGAAACACTGAACAACTGTTTGGTTCTGTTACAGCGCTCCCTAGAAGTGTGTGTCTATGACCCTGAGGATTTATTAAACTACAATTTATCTTCATAATGGAAAGCTCATAGGAGGATCATTTGAATTTTGAGAATGATTGGCTTTACAGACTGAATTTAACTACCAACAATTGCTGAAAACTGTACAACAGTAGACTGGTGTTTGACACAACTGTGGAGCCTCTTGATATAGTAAAATCACAATCATCTCACTATAACATCCTCATTTTAAGAAATTAACCATTAATCAGTTTATAACACTGTAGTTATCTGTCCTTATAAAATTTTATTAGATGAAAAATAAAAATATGCTAACAGAAAAGAACCATCTTTTTTCTTTCAATTATTGATTCCAAGTTTGGAATGCAGTGGATTTCAACTGGATTGTCAAATAGGAATCTATTAACTTTTTCTATGGCCGATAACATTAATTCAGTAGTAATGAGGACGCAATTTGTTTTTTAGAAACATATTAAAATATGAATCATCAAACAATCAAGATTAACTTGATTTATGAATGTTAAGATCTTCTCATTTCTGTTACTAAGGTCTTCATTTTATTAAGCTCTTTAAGTACATTGTCATTTAATTATAAGTAGCTACTAAAGTTGAATAGTGCTTAGCAGTGGAATCAAAAATGTTCATTTTGTCCTATTTGAGATTTGTCAGCTGGGTGAACTTGCACATTCCAACGTTAGTATTCACACTCATACTTAAACTAAGAACTAATCGTTTCAAACATCAACACGTTATTCATTGAGCTGGTAAGTGTAAATAACCAATAGCTTATGTAACAGTCATGTATTTTATTTAATTTGGCTAACTGGTTCTAGTCGCTAATTGAATAACAGGTTAGTTGATTGAAATAAAATGTACTCTTTTCAAGTTCAAAATATCGATTATCAGTAGCAAATCAAATTATCTTAGGAAAAACGAAAAGGACTTACTTCAGTTAATAAACCAAGTAATGTTAATAAACCTAATGTTACTCTAGCCGGTACTGCTTTAATATCAATCCAAAATCCTAACCATGATACCATAACAATTAAAACTTCTGGAATATAAGTTGTAACAATGTAAGAACCAATTAATCGTCGAAGTGGTATAATTAATAGTAGACAACTATAAGTTCCAGTATTTGTTGTACCATTCTTTGTACAATCCTGTATAATAGAAGTAAAAAATAAGACAAATAAATGAAATTAATGTTAATATGTTGATTATTTTATTGTAGTGTTTTCATTGAGATGATAATATTGACGAGTAGTTAGTTGAGTAGTTTAGAGTATTATTATTATTTATCTAGTATTGTTTACTTGGATCTTCTCATTGATATTTAGAACTAGAATTGATCATTTTGTTATTTGCGTATGTGCATCCTGTGCAGTATACCTCGATATTGTCCGGGATGCAGGTACATCCACTGCTAACAAATATCTATATTTGCTTATATCGTTCTTATTGTATACATTTATATTGATAACAAGAAATTGATAAGTCTTATAAAGAAAAACAAATTAGACCTTGAATATTAATTGATACAATGTTTGCTGATAGTTAAAAATTAAAATCAAATATTAATAAAGGTTTGTAATTTCCCTTTGTTAATACTTGATACTGTAATTGGTCAGTAATTGTTTCTATACTTGCATACAAGGAGGAGGTTGACTTGATATAGGATAGTGTCACAACTTTTAGTATCTTCCATATGTAATTGGCAGTGGAATTCAGGTTTAGCATTTCGCTTTATTTTTAGGACTTATCAACTGAATGTATCTAGATCCGATTGTTGGTGTTCACACTGAAATTCAATGGAAATCATAAGCAATTACTTGTAATTTAGTACACATTAAATAAATTTGTGGCTATATAGACTAAATAGCTCAGTCGATAACACATGAAGGGGGGAGATAAAGAGAAAGAAACTGGATTCGAGTTTTATTCATTTGAATCGTCAATATTTTCTTTTACTGAAGGCATCGATAGTCAATATTACAATGTTGTGTAAATTATCCTTCCTACTGTAAATATTGAAAGAACTGAATTAGTCTATTGAAGACAATTAAACTTCTTTTCTGATAGATCATATTGAAATCATGATAACTAATCAATGAATGATCAACTTTAAATATATGTACATATGTATTGTTACTGTACTCTAATTAGTTTATATCGGTTAATATGTTCTGCTAATTGCTCAATTTAATAATCTCACTCAGTAAAAATGTTAGGTAAACATTACTGCTACTTCAACAAAATAAACTATCTTGAAGCAAAGATAAATAGTGGCTAGCAGTGGAATTCAGGACACGCGTTTCATCCTATTTAGAAGTTGATGTTCACTCTGAGATTCGTAGTCAGTACCGTTCACTTCAATTGTCATCGCATTATCCACTTAGCTATTAAGTTCTGATAGCCATCTACTTATGCAATGGCTTGAAGTTTTAAATTTACTTAGTGTTGGTCTTTACTAAAACTAATAACCAAATAGATTATACCCATCACTCATACTCATTACTTTTGTTTCATTCAAAATATATTTTCTTTTAATTATATAATAATTAGAAAACTTAACTGGATTTTTCTTGCCAAAAAAATATATAATAACATTATACTTCTTTTTTTTTTAAGAAAAAAATCCGACAAAATCATCTTTGATCATGTTTCCTTATAATCTTTATAGAAGAAAGTAAAATCATATTTTTCAAGTTGAACTCCATTAGATTCATTAAAATGAAAAAAAAATTTATCAGATGAGAATTTCCCCCCCTCCTTCTTTCTTTTTGTATATATATATATATATATATATATATATATATATATATATATATATTAATAATTATATTTAAGTATATATGGTATACAGTATTAGTGGTATTATTGGTGTTACTAATGAAAATGGCTTATTACCCTTATTTTCTTCTATTTATCTCACACACACACAATATATATATATATATATATATATATATATATATACCCACAATGTATGCAAGCATGAGTATATCCATGTATACACATACATATACACAAATATACATATATAATAATTAATATTCCATTATCATAGTCAGCCAATATTTTTTACTGCATCACAATAAAGGATCTAGATTACTCAGGGGGTAAAAACAAAAGAAGAAAGAAAGAAAAAAACAAAACAAAACGAAGAAAAATTTTAAACATTAATTGTTTGTTTCATTTTTATAAAGAAAAACTATAGACTATGACCGTGGTTATAAATGAAATGAATTCATTCAAGTAAATTAACATTTACTCATTTATTACTATTATACCGACAGAACATATTTTAGTAATGGATATCATTTTATCCCATTGTATACATATACATCTATATTTATATCTATATAATGATGTAATATTGGAGACAAAATAATAAAATGAAAATATAATAAACCTATGACGTCATCATATATGTGATAAAATTAAGAAAATTAAATGAAAAAAATCACTTTGAAATAAACCGATTATTTATAATAATTCTAGTTGAACAACCAGATTGGTTTTTGATTGAGATCATGAACCGATTGATGTTAGACCACCATTGAAAATCTGGAAGCATTAGACTGCCATTTCGTCCTATTTTGGGGTTTCTCAGCAGTGCGTACCGACGTTCCTGCTCGCAGGATTCGAACTCAGTGCTTCCAGGTTTCCAACGGTGGTCTAACATCAATCGATTCATGATTTCAATCAAAAACTTAATGATCTCCAAAACCCCTATACTGATAACTTTGTATATTATTGAAGAAAAACTTATTGAATTATAAATAACAGTTTGTGGTTTGCTTTTTTTTCTTCATAAAGTCAGAATATTATTTTTAATAGAACTATTGGGTGAGACAATAATTTATGGACGACCTTTGAGTGACTCTAAGGTGGCCTTGAGAGTGTTCACCTAATAAATAGGGCTAAATGAGGGTTATAAACCAGTGTGAGAAATTAGAATTTTGATCTACAGTTAATGGTTAGGGAAAGGGATTATAATTAGGATTTTCATCATGAAATGACATCATTTATAATGCCAAAACTCTATTTAGCTAAATGGATGGGTAAATTTCTCGCCAAAATCAGAGACCTATTATCTTATATCTAATTGGTACGTCCGTAAATGATAGTCTCGCCGAAATATTGAATAGTGAACATTAGTCTAACATACTTTTTGAATGTGAACGGTTCATTTAATAAAGTATTTAGATTTCATCATACGACTTATATTGAACATTCAATATTATCATTACTAAATATAGATTATAATGATCAACTTTACAGAGTAAACTAAATAAATAATTGCTTAAATTAGAAATAAATAATAATCGTTTTTAGGTAGTATTCGTCAAGAATTGTTCTAAATTGGAATACAATTGAAAATCACGGAGCATTTTTATCACAGTATGGGACACTTTAGCGGTGATGATTTACAACCTCACTAGCTATCAAACTTAGGATAATTAGGTCTCTCAACAAACAACAAACCATCAAAACAATTAATTTAAAATCTAGTTGTACAATTCCAACTTGAATCATTTTGAAATATAATGTAAAGGTCTTTCAATGTTACTATTGGCGGTTTTTTTTCACTGCTGACATGTATAAACTCCTCCGATCACGACTTCTCATTAGATCCTCAGGAACATCTCTGAGTAGCTCGTTCATGAGCTGACCATGAAAGATTAGTTCAAGGAGTTACATGGAGATTGGCTTAATTTTAAGCCTTTATTGATCATATATTGATCCATTGCTTCTTATTTCACAATGGTATCCTAACTGAGATTACTCTTTAACAAATGAAACATACAAACGAAATCAAACTTCATAAAATCCCCTCAAAGGAACGAAAATATTACTTTCTAGTTTTGTTTTAATCATGCTCAAAGTGTTAAACACTATTAATGTGAGACGATTTATTTAGAATAACTCGTATACCATTGATAGCCGACTGAATTAACAAGTATTTCCTTATATCTGTATTGAATTGATGATGAAGTCATATTTATTTCAGATTTTATAACAGAATAATTAATAAAGATGGTAAAAGCTTATAATTAGAAGTATTTTTTCTTGACTAACAAACACGTTTCGCTCTATCTACTGTTAGCCAAGAGAGAAGTTAATAAAATAGTAACTTAAAGTTTCATATCACAAACTATTCTTACTTAGACAATCGTTACAATCTAGGAACTCGTTTTGTCCTAGTATCAGATTCTTTAGTTGTATTTGAATCTAACATTACAGAGTCAATGTCAGAACATTCAGAACTTACAGACAGCATCTAAACTTCATATGATCGATTTGGTTACGAACGCTTTACATTTTCAACTTCAGTCATTTTAAAACATTGTACATGCATCTCTCAATGTAATTGGTGGATTATGCGCTCACGATAAAACCTAAAGGTTATGAGTTAAATCTCTGGTGGACTTGTGGATGTATGCTTTTTAGTAAGATTATCATACTAGGACAAAACAGTTTAACACCGCTTCCTGATTTCCAATGGTAGTCTAGCTATGAAAACTTTACAATCTCCGAAAATCTCGCTACGCTGATAAAAGAATACTTAACTGATATATATTGAAAGTAGATTGTTTATCACAATACATCTCGATATGTATATATAGCACAGTTTATCTAAAACTTTCAGACATGCACAGGATAGAAAATGCATATTATAAAACAAGAGAACAATAATGAGAAAGCACTTAAAATAGTCTGATTTTTGCTTTTCTATGAATAAATTAAGGCAAATAAGTGCGTTTGATATATCTTTTTCAAAAATTTTCTTCATAAGAAAAATTACGGATGTAATACACAATTTACTTTGATGGATATAATAATGGATAGAGTTTGGAGTAAGAGAGAGAGAGGGGGGGGAAGGGAAGACAAAAAGCTCTGAGTACTTTTCAATTTACCATTGCATCACGTCACCTTGCTCTGGTTTATACTCCCTTTCTCTCCCTCTCTCTTGGGCTATCCTTTACCTACCCGCTTCCTGTCACTGTTGTTACATTTTAATGCAAACAAAATAAGACAAAACCACGCGGAAAAATATGTACATTGTGAAATAATCATATGTATTATTCATTTTTTTGTAAAAAATTGGATGAAACAGAAAACAGTGGAGAAATGTTCATAAAGTATTGAGACTGGT